TTGATTTATTTTCAAAAAATGTAAGAGTTTTAGCATGTTCTTAATGTGAAAACTAGTAACAGTGGATAATGTTGTTTTGTTGGTTATAAAGTTCCAAGGAGGTAGTTCTGGCCCACAGTAATTGCTTGGGTACAATGATAAACCTGTAAAGTATTTTCAGCTCCACTGTAAGAGGGCACTGTCATGCCTCTATTAGAATCTGACTCCGAGGGAGAGGAGGAACAGCCAACAGGGAGTGGGAATGTGGCTCTGGAGGTTGTGGAGGAAACTGGCAAAGGGCAGACTGGCTGGGCATTCAGAGGAAGACCCAGGCCCATCCCTTCTTCATCTTAGGGCACGCAGGGAGGAGCGGATAAGGGAGAAACGTGAAGAAAGGGGGAAGAAAGGGCCTTGATACCCTCCATGGGCTGCAGCTGTGAGGACTGTTTAAAAGGATAAACTGTGCATGGGCCAGTGCTGGAAGCAAAGTGTGAAAATATTTCTAGTCTGTCAGTTCTTATCTGAGTTCTGGCGTCCTTCCCAGTGTGTGTATTTCGATATCTGTGGACATCTTCAAGCTCTTATCTTGCCTTGTCTCATTAATTCTTCAGTGTGGTTTGTGTTGTTGTTTTTTCTATTTATAATTTATATGTATTTTGAGTTTGAATGGAAGTTGTTCCTTTTTGCAACTGTTTGTGGGGGAGTTTTTTCTCCAGTTAATGATAATTGGACCTTTAAAACCAAGTTGAAGGAATTAAAGGGACTTCACCTGCTTTTGTGACTTTGTTGCTTTTGTATCCCACCCTGGGTCATCACAGGGCACAATACAATTATAAGCATCCTCCTACATATACATATGCTGTCATACAAAGTTTGCATATTTTCAATTTCCTAAATGTATTAATAATAATAAAAACTTAATATGAAGCACTTACTTATAATTACTCTGATTTGTTTACATTTCAATTTCTAAGGAAGTTTAAGATTACAGGCAATGACTACAGAAATTAGCACATATGATAAAATATGTAATATTGGTGAATCTTGCTTATTTTGCTTGCAATTCATTCTGAAAATTCCTGCACTTAACAAAATACGATGATTGTCATATTTTTGCTACCCTTGTCAATGTTTTGTTTGTTTGTTGTGCCTTTGAGACAATGACTCCTGGCAACTCCCTGGACAAGTCCTTGCAATTTTCTTAAAAGGTTACCCTTCTAAGATTTGTGCCTGAAGCAGGACTGGAACTCTTGGTCTCCAAATTCCTAGTCTGGCGCTTTAACCACTACACCTAAACTGGTTCTTCTTATAAATATTACATTTTCCATTTTCTGCTATCTTATTTTAGATAACTGAACAATATGAAGTGAAAGTTTACAAATTCTATCCTAAAGCACTGCATTCACCCTTACTATACAGGTAGTCCTCGACTTATGACTACAATTGAGTCCAAAATTTCTGTTGTTAAGTGAGTCATTTGTTAAGTGAGTTTTGCCCCATTTTACAACATTTCTCGCACAGGGTTAAGTCAGTCCCTACAGTTGATAAGTTAGTGACCCGGTCATTAAGTGAATCTGGCTTCCCCATTGACTTTGCTTTTCAAAAGGTAGCAAAAGGGGATTGCATGACCTTTGGACACAGCAGCAGTCATAAATGCCAAGCATCTGAATTTTGATCACATGATCGTAGGGCTGCTGCAAAAGTCATAACTCTGAAAAATGTTCATAAGTTCCTTTTTTTCAGTGCCGTTGTAACTTTGAACAGTCATTAAATGAACTGTTGTAAGTCAAGGACTACCTGCTCCAATCGTATCTGGCTGATCTTGAAAACCACAATATGGTATTATTTGAAATGAAAGCTTAACAATACAACACTAAATTTCTCCACATCAAAATCCAACTGAAATACACTTAATTGCCTGCTGAAACCACAAGGCTTTGATGAATGCCATGTAGCTTTCTAAATTGTTTATTTATTTATAGAAACATAGAACATATAAGCAAAAATCCCCCAAGATACATTTAAAAAGCAAGCATGATCCAAGAATCCTTGCAGCGACATTTCTTAAGGGTAAGGGCCCAGAGGAAGGTTACACTAATATCCAGGTCATTAGCCAAGAAAGAAAAGCTTTAAAACTGACAAGTAGCATCTTTGATTACACCTGGAAGGAAAATGCTCTGTAGCTCTCAGAATACAGCATTTTGCCTTGTGCCCAAAACCTTTCAAGCGGCTGCATTCTGAGCCAGTTTCAAGGTCTTCAAGGGGTAGCTTCATATAGAACTTCTTCTTCTTCTTCTTCTTCTTTTTCTTCAGCGTTTGTCTCGCGCTCTGGCGAGGTCCGCTAATGTCCTTGAGTACTGCTTCCACGCCTCTCTGTCTGCCACGTATGTCGGGTCTGCCTTCGCGATCTCTAGATCGGCCTTGATCGTGTCCATCCAGCGTTGCTTAGGTCTACCACGCGGTCTCGCTCCTCCGACAATCACCTTCATCGCAGATTTGATGATGGATTCTTCCTTGGCGCGACTCACATGGCCGAACCATCGTAGCCGGGACTGCCTCATGACTGTGGGGATGGGCACGACGTTGAACCGTCTGCGCACTTCTTCATTCCTGACGCGATCGAGTAGGGTGAGGCCTACCGACCATCGGAGCATTCGCATCTCCATTGTCTGGAGTCTGCTTTCGACTTCTTTGGTCGTCGGCCAGCACTCTGCGCCGTATATGGCCACAGGGCGCACCACAGAGTTATAGATTTTCGCCTTCAGGCGCATCGGCATCTTCTTGTCACAGAGGACGCCCGTGACGGACTTCCATTTGCCCCACGCTGCGTTGATCCTGGCTGCCACCTCAGTTTGTAGTAGGCCTTCTTCCCCAAGAGTAGTTCCCAGGTACTTGAAGGTGGAGGCGCGCGGTAGCTCCTGCCCGTTCACGTGGATGGAGCCTGTCGTTTCATTGTCAGTGGTCAGGTATTCGGACTTCTTTAGGTTCAACCGGAGCCCGAACTGCTCGAGGCGGTCGTGCCACTGTTGGACTAGGTGCTCGAGTTCAGCCTTGCGCAGGTTGGCCAGGAACACATCATCGGCGTAGAGCAGCGTCCATGGGGTGGGCGTGTGCAGGTCGTGTGTAATTGTGTCCATCACCAGAATGAACAGCAGTGGTGAGAGAGCAGAGCCCTGGTGTACGCCGACGGTGATATTGAACTCCTCTGATATCCCAGCTGCCGCTTTTACACGGCTTTTGTGACATCTGTATAGGAGTTGGACCCATTGTACGAGTAGCTCGGGCACGCCGTGATCTCGCAGTGCGTACCAGATGAGATCGTGCGGGACTCGGTCGAAGGCCTTTTCCAAGTCCAAGAAGGCGGTGTGGAGCGGGATATGTAGCTTCATATAGAACATGTTGCAGAAATCTAAATAGGAGATGATTGAACCTGAATAACTATGCATAAAGCTTCTCTCTCTGCAATTAAAGCGGCAACAGGTACATAAGGTTAGACCTGTTCGAAGCTCTTCCTAGCCACAGCTGCCACCTGTCCTTCAAGCAGGAACTGTGAATCGAGGAACACAGATCTACAAACCAGCACTGAATGGGGGTTAGGCCATTCGGTTAAGCTACTCTGTTTTGTGAGAATTAAATCAAAATCTGTTCTTTCCCATCCAAACCTCTGCAGCTTCCTGACATCGTGATAGAACATCCAACACATCCCTTGTCTGGGCTGGAGTTAAGATATCCAACTAAGTATCAGCTAGGTATTGATGATATTTGGATTCCATGCCAGTGAATGACCGTCACCAGTAATTTAGGTAGATATTAAATAAGTGGTGGGTAAGTGTCAATCTATGCAGCCTTTTGTAGTGGAGGGCTTGATTCCCCTCCCCTTCAATTACACTTGATTGGATCCACCCGCTTTGGAAGGAGGAAACCCCCTGAGAACGGTCATTCCCCACCCCAAATGCCAGCCTTTGCACATGGTCCAGGAGGTATTGAAAACTGCTAGAAGATAAAGCAGAAGTGTTTTGTTTTTTTTAGTGATTCAGCGCTAAAACCCTAACTAAACTCATATTACACTTGTTAAATTTTTTGGAAACAAGCTCATGAATATTAATCTAAAGTAAAACTGCTTGGAAGTTTTGAAGAGAGTTTAAATAGTGAGTTCAGAGCTTTAGCCAAGATCATTTCAGCATTCCACAAAACCGCCACTCCCAACAAATAACTCCGAGACAGACATCCTCTCAAAAGTTCTGTTTTATTTAGGTAGTAAACTGGCATATCTGGAAAATCCCGAATCTGAAAGTTCCGGGTTTCCTTGCAATAAATAAAAACTACGAAACCACCCCCTGCGCCCATCATTGCATCACATGCCCCAATCACCACCCATCCCAACTTGAGACGTCCCTTCACCCAGGTGCAGAATAACATGACCTTGACTTAGAAGAAGAATGCTTTTATGTCTAACCACATACACTCCAAGAAATTCCCCCTCCCTTTTCCCAGGCTCAAGAATGTGGCAGTGTGGAAGCGTCTGGTGTTAATATGGCTTCCAAAGCTGGCACCTTCCCTAACTATCATTAATTGAATGTAAGGTTATTTTGCACTTGGCTATAGTTGATGGACATGATTCTAACAAAAATCGGATCTGGAAAATCTGATTATTTTCCATCATTGTTTACTTATATACTGGCACATAATTACTATCAAGTAAGTCTAGACTTTCTTAAAAAATAGCCTTACTCTCAGTGAGAACTATGTTTTGTTGATATTAAATAGTTTCAGTAGGTATCTATTATAAATACTAATCTTTTTTTTTTAAAGTAAACTTAAGACCTGTTGGGTGAGTGAGTTGGAAGGACTGCTTCCTTCCAGGAAAAAAGTTATTAGAAATTAGTAACAAGGCTGAAGACAGCCATCCAGCTTCCTATAGCTAATGTTTTGAGCAGTGCCACAGGTATTATAGAGTTAGATCATTCTTCCAGGACTGATGTGCTAATGAGCCAATGTTTTTTTGTATGTTGTTTTTTTAGCTCACAGTAAATGAAGCAGCTGCTCAGTTATGTGTCAAGGATAATGCACTATTAACCCGGAGGGATGAACTCTTTGCTCTGGCACGGCAGATCTCTCGAGAAGTTACATACAAGTACACTTACCGGACCACCAAGTAAGCTACATTTTTTTTTAAAAAAACAACAGATATAAACTCTAAATGTAAACCTCTCCAAACTCGATTGCAGGAAGTACGATTTCAGCAACAGAGTGGTCAATGTCTGGAACTCACTACCTGATTCTGTTGTCACCTGCTCAAACCCCCACTCCTTTACCCTCAAACTAACCTCTATTGACCTCACCCCATTCCTAAGAGGTCTGTAAGAGACATGCATAAGCGCACAATCGTGCCTACCATCCCTGTCCTATTGTCCCCAATTATTAGTTCCTATTTCTTGCATTTAAACTTATGTTTATTTTTGTTTCTGTTATATTGTAAGCTTTTGACAAATAAATATAAATAAATAAATAAACTTAACTTGAAATGGGTACATTACGAAGTATTAGAAATCAGTTTACAATCTTTCTGCCTTATGATCAGTTTATGGTTTCACAGGCCACCGGATGGGAGGTGTGAATGCTGGTGCATTCTCCTGGAAGCCGTTCGGATCATCCAGTGTGTGGGAGGTGCTTCAGTCTGCGTCGTTGTAGGCTGAGCTTAATTACTGAGGATTGCTCCGCCCTTCATCACGTGGCTGCCTTGCAATCCCCAGTTTACGCTCAGCCTTCGTTAGGTTAGGCTGTGTATCTCCCACTCTTTGGCCGATTCAAGCATACTCATTATTATTTCAGGTTTGCCTTTTATTCCTGGTTCTCCCTTAGCCTCTGCGCAATTGGGGTGGCTGTAGCAGGGGAGCGCGTTTCTTCGCCCCCAGGGGGGATAGAGAGCGGGCGGTTTTCGCGCTCCGGCATCAATCCTCCCCCCCCCTTTCAATTCGGCTCCTTGCCTGCCGCTTGTTTCGCGCCGCTCTCATAGCGGCTTTATCGATCGCGCTGATAAGCGCAGCTGGTGTTCCCCCCCACCAAAACGCCGATCGCCCCAGCAAGGGGCGAAAATTACTTGGCTGCCTCGCTCGGCTCCTAGGTGTGCCGGAGAGGCTTATGTAGCGCTCTGAGCGGCCCGGGATTAAAGAGTAGGTGGCGGCCGCCATTTTGGGCGCCGCCGCGTGTATAACGGGCGTAATTCTAATAGGCCTCATTGGGCTGCGAAGGGGCTAGCTCCTGTTGTAGGCCTGCCAGCCTATGAGAGCTACTGCAGATTCAATTTAATTGGCTATCTTGTTGGCTTTCCGCAGCATGCTCAGAGCAGAAAATCGCAGCCTATCCCTCCCGGTTTGTGCCTGGGAGCTCCAGCTGCCAGAGGCCTCACTCCAGCCTCAGGCGTTTATTTGGCCAATTGGAGATTTTTAACATTATATCTGAGGTCACTCCCTCCTGGGAGCACTGAACAGATCCCTGTTCATTTCTTGTATATGAAAAATAAATAATAATAATAATAATAATTAATAATAATAATAATAATAATAATAATAATAATAATAATAATAATAATAATAATATAATGAAATATTATATAGAGATATACATATATATCTATTGGTACATGGCAATAACGCATTACCAACACTGATTGGATTACATATACAGTGCTTATAAGCATGTATATATATTTATATCAATAATTATAACAATAATAATATTGTAGAACTTACATATCTAAATTCCAAAAGGGGGCGCGGGCCAGCTGAAAGGACACCCGGCCTTTGTTGTAGGCCGAACCCTTGGCGAGCCAACCGCCTTAAATTGGAGCTATAGTCCTTTCTTCTATAATGGCAGATGACAATTCCACTAGAGGCCCTTCGTTGAAGGCCAGATCTCAGTCCTACCACCTGCGCAGACAGGCTAAGGAAGCCTCTAAGGAAACTTCTAAGGCTTCTCAGAGAGACGCCCTAAGGCGCCATAGGGCACTGGAGAAAGAATTTGACAGGTGATCTAGAGAGGCACAACCAGTGCCCCCAGCCCCCTTCCTTCTACCTCCAGACACCCCCCCCTCCTCCAGATTCCTCTTCCCTCTCCAGGCGCAGCTTACAGGGACACCAGGTGCCCGAACCGACAACCAGACGAACGCTCGAAGCCACTTTCACACCCACGGCCGCTGGCCTGCGCCAGGAGGAGGCCGCCTCTGTCGAGATTCCTGCGCACATGCAGGCATGGATGGAACAGACTATCCGCCAGGGGATAGCAGAGGGCCTTTAACAGATGTCCAGGTCCGGTCCCCCCTCGATGGCGCCCGAACACGTCTCGCCATCACTCAGGTCCTTGCCTAGATTGGACCCCACTCATGGTCAGGTACCTTTATGGGGGACAGCCCCCGCTCAGAAGGGGAAATGGAGAAGGCTATAGAGGACCTGGTTCGGTTCGGGGAGGAGGAAGATCTTGAATGGGGGTCCATACACCAAGGGGAACCCCTATCGGAGATAGACCCGAAGGAAGGGGACATGTCCGAGGACGAGGGCCTCACCCCCATCAACTCACCTTGTGGGTTTGTTCAAAGCACACATATTTTAAATCCCTGCTATTTAAGGCCAAGAGCATTTCTGGCCTATCTGTTCAGTCCTCCTCGCTCTCCCCCCTCCGGCAGAGGGACAAGAGGACGCCGTTTTTAGGCAACCCGTGGTGGAGGCGGAAGTTATTCCGGCCCCACTCATATTTCACGACCTAGTTTCAGACCAGTTGGACTCTATAAGAGCTCCCCCTGCCCCATCCAGCCAGGACAAGAGGTTCTTAACCTCAATTCGAGCTTCTGCAACTTGCTTAACACCCCCGAGGTAGACGAACCCTTCGTTGGCTTAGTTTCCTCGTCCTCCCCCAGTGACCCCTTGGAGGCTCTAAAACCCGAGGACAAGAGGTCCGAACTGCCGTTGAGTAGGGCTCATCAGGCTGACACCTGGGCTGTCAGATCGGCCATGGCCGCTTCCTTTTTCACCAGGTCCTCGATCCGGTGGCTCCGCCAACTGAAACAGCATGTTTCCCCCTCTAACACTAGGGCACATCAGGACATCGTAAAGTTAACGGCCGCAGTGGAACCCTCGGCCGACGCCACCTACCACAGCCCTTTGTCAGGTGGCCTAGAGGTAGAGCACTTGCCTCACAGTCAGGAGGCTGTGAGTTCGATCCCAGGTAAAGGCTGATATTTCAGATAGTCTCTCCTGCTCTTGTACATTACCTCAACGGTTAAGTTCTCCGCCCGAGTAATAACCTCTCTCGTTACAGCTCGCCGCCTACTCTGGCTCTAGCACTGGCAGGCGGACATAAAAAAACAAGGTTAAGCTGGCCACTGCCCCCATTAAGGGGGACAGACTATTTGGCACCGCCCTGGAGCCATTGCTATCTGAAACCTGAAGCAAGAAAAAATTTCTCCCCCCCCCCTTTTTTTTCGGAGGTCAGAGTCAAGAAAGCCTCTGCCCTTTCGGAGAGGTTCCTCCCGACCCTTCTACCAGTCCCCTTCCAGCCCAGGTATCCGAGACCCCCTCCTTCCGGCAATTCCAGCCCCAGGATCGAGCCGATCCAGGTTACAGGAACAGGAGGGGCGGCAGCTACAGACGGCCCTTCACGGGCCCCGGAGGGAAGCCTCTCTGGCGCACCAGATAGACCCTGCTCCTCCCTTCCCATCGAGGGATGCCTCAGGCATTTCGCCGACCGATGGGATTCCCCCACTTCCGATGCCTGGGTCCGTGGCACCATCAGGCTTGGTCTCGCGCTTGAATTCCAGCGCCCCCCCCCCGACTTCTTTATGGCATCCCCCCTTTCGAGGGACCCCACCAAACACAACTCAATGGATTCGGCCATTCAGCACACCATCCCAGCGGGGGCAGGGGTTTTACTCCCTCCTCTTCGTGATTCCCAAACCCTCAGGGGGATGGAGGGCGATTCTAGACCTGAAACGCCGGAACCGTTACCTGATCTACCGCAGGTTCAAGATGGACACCCTACAGTCCATTCTACTGGGCATCAGACAGGGGGACTGGCTAGCCTCTATAGACCTTTCAAAGGCGTCTCCCCACTCCCATTCCGGCCCTTCCATTCCATATTCCTCAGATTCTGCTACAACCACCGCCACTTCCAATATGTGGCTCTTCCCTTTGGGTTGGCCCCTGCCCCAAGGATCTTCACTAAGGTCCTCGCGTCTCTGGCGGCCCCCGCAGGAACCTCCCGGTTCGTCTCCATTGTTACCTGGATGACATCCTCGTCCTGTCCCACCCCAGACTCTAAGCAGGGAAGGATGTCAGAGCTACCCTCTCTGCCCTCCAAGACCATGGGTTCCTGGCAAACTGGCAAAAGAGCCGACTGTTACCACCTACACGGATCACCCCTTGGGGTCCGTCATTAACTCAGTTCGAGGAAAGGTTTTCCCTTCCTCGGAAAGATTCCTTAACATTCAGGAAACCGTCAAACAAGTCAGACGTTCAAGAAGGGTAACACCTTTAGAATTGTCTAAGCTACTAGGTAAAATGGTCTCATGTATTTCCATTGTTCCCTGGGCCCGGTTACACACCAGGTCCCTACAGTGGTTCCTGCTCCCGTTCCAACGGTCCTGCAGAAGCAATTCAAAGGCCACGGTCAAGGTGCCTTCAAGGGTCCTCACGTCTCTCCTCTGGGTACCAGTCCCGCCATCAACAAGGGACATGGCTTCAAGGAGCCCCAACGCCTCACCCTCACCACAGACGCCAGCCTGTCCAGATGGGGCAATCACATCCACTCGCTCTCGACTCAGGGCACATGGTCTCAGGTAGAACGAGCATGCAGTATAACTGGTTGGAACTCCGCGCCATCCACCTGGCACTGCGCAACTTCCTCCCTCAGGTACGCGGGCGGCATGTCCTCATACTCGCGGACAACATCACGACCAAGGCCCATGCCAACCGACAAGGGGGCACCAGTCCATCCGTTTGATGAGAGAGGCCGAGCGCCTCCGCCATTGGGCGGAGCGCAATCCCCTCACTCTCAAAGCCGAGCACATCTCAGGGGACTTAAACACCCAAGCAGACTGGTTGAGCAGGACCACGGTGGACCAGCCCAAGTGGCGCCTCCACCCGTCACTGTTCAGGGAAGCGA